ACTGAGACTCCATTGGGAAAATCAAAATCTACTTTCGCTTTCGTAAGCGCTCAGAATTGTCCGATGATAGTTCGTTGACGTCAGATTTACAGTTAATAAAAATTTGTAACCTGCAGTATGGAGGTAAAAAACACAGTGTGGTCATAAACATTAAATCGATATTCTCACTGATGTCACTATAATGACCAAAAAAAAGGGAGAAAAAGAAAACACGCGTCCTCCAATTTCTAGATTGTCAGGCCCCTCATCGTGATCGGTCAATGAACCTGTGAGAGTTCATGAGTACGGCATGAGCAAGGGACCGGCCGGTGGTTGTTGGGGAAAGCCTTATCAAAGTTCATTCAAAGTAGGAGTGTTGCAGGGCGTCGGAATTGAGGGGAGGTGTTTGATGCAATAAAGTCTACGGCAGCAGGAAAAGGCCGCGGTGCAAGAAACTGATGCTAAAATTATAGTGTCAGGAATATTATGTTTTAATATAGTTTCTGTTGGTATGGGCTAGGGGTTTTGAAGTCAGTTTGGCAATCACCCTGCACTCAATCCCAGATTAAATACTGAATGATAGGTGCCTTGAACGATAGTCCATAAAATGATTTAAAAAAAAAAAAAAACCTCGCCTCATTTCATACCCACTGTTCATCATAACTTGTGCACCCCCATACACCCCCTTCCTTCTCCACGCACATATATATACACACATATATAGGCACATGCGAGAGCATGGCAACATGCACACACAGACACACACACACGCTCACATGTGCATGCTCAAACAAGTTTTCAAAATATAAGGACCCAATATCTCGGAAAGCAAGCGCGTTCGGTGGGGCAACGATCATCTTTTTTTCTTCTTTATCTTTGTACTGCCTGATTTTGGGCCAATCTACCTGAAAATGACCTTGAATCTACCTGAAATGGGGACTTTGAGGTAGGCAGCCCTGCTTCAATAGTGTTGCTCGGTCTACACTGTCAAAAGCCTTCTCATAGTCAAGGAAGTTGACGATCAGCAGGGAGTTCCACTCCAGAGACTGTTCCACAATGATCCTCAGCATGGCAATCTGGTCGGTGGTTGAGCGATTTTTCCGGAAACCAGCCTGTTCATCCCGTAGTCTTGGATCCGTTGCTGTCTTGATTCTCTCCAGAATGATTCTGTTGAAGACCTTACCTGGTATTGAGAGAAGAGTGATCCCTCTGTAGTTGCTGCAGTTGCTGAGATCCCCCTTTTTTGGAAGCTTCACGAGGTGTCCTTCTTTCCAATCTTTTGGGAATTTTCTCTCATTCAATCCTGGTAAACAATGGGAGGAGGATGTCTGCCGTCACATTGGCATCTGCTTTTACGGCTTCAGGTGGTATCTGGTCGGGACTGGCCGCTTTACCTTTGTTCAGTTTCTTAATGGCATCCAGAATCTCTTGTTTTGAAGGAGCATCACAGCAGATTGGTAACTCATTTCTTGCTGGCAGTATGTTTGGTGGGTTACTCGGTGGTGGTCTGTTCAGGAGACTGTTGAAATGCTCTACCCATCGTTTGGACTTAGCTTCCTTTACAAAAATGTTTTTCCCCTCTTGGTCCTTTACTGGTACTTCAGATTTCCCGTATTTTCCAGAAAGTGTCCTTGTGGTCTGGTAAAGGATTCGCATGTGCCCTCCTATCGCTGCTTCCTCTGC